ATTTACAAGACTATGTTGAATTAGTCAACAAACTCCAATGGCATACATGATGCAGTACATCCTACTGTCTAAGGGTTGATAAGAAAACAGGCCAACAAGTTTGTAGATTTGGATTTCCAAAAGAATTAAGAGAACAAACTATTATACAAGATAATGATCGTGGTTAATCGGAATTACTAACAGTTAGGAATGATCCTTATATAAATTCACATGACCGTTTTCAGCTCCAAGGATGGAGAGCGAATGTAGATTTAAAGCCTATACTTACTACTTATGCTGTGTTAAAATATGTATCAAAGTATGCAAGTAAAGCTAAGCCCCGTTTAGCATCATTTTCTGAAGTATTAGAAAGTATTCTTGCTTATGGTAAACCTAATGACCCATCTATCAAGTCTTTTCAAAATTTTTTTCTCCATACGGTAGCTGAATATGATTTTTTAGCTTAAAAAACTTGTCACCTCCTGTTTAGTATTCCTCTATATCATTGTAGTAGGACATTTGTGACCTTAAATCATAACAATGAAACTTTACGATGTGTTTATAACAATAGTAAAGACCATAACAGTAGTAAAGATCACAATAGCAGTGAAGACTGTAGTAATAGTAATAATAATCATGAAACAACAAATGCAATGAAAACAGGATACTCATCTTTACAGTTGTACTGAACTCAACCTACTGAGCTTCAAAACATATTACTCTTTCAGTTATATTTAAACTACAAATATGTAAAGGGAGAATGGAAACGTTGTACAAAAGACAATATTGTGTGTATCTGGCCACGACCATCCCCATTACAGAATGGGCCTAATTGAGAAGAATTTTGCTGAATGAAAGTTCTCTTGCATGTTAGTCATAGAAACATCTTACAACTCACAGAAAATAAAACCCTTTCATGGAAAGAGCTCTATGATCGCTATTTGCAAGAAATCGAATCTGAACCTATTGATTTACTTGGACTAGCTGTGGATGCTCTCGAAAAAGAGAATAATAGTGACAAATACTAACTTGATGAAGAGAATAAGGATGAAATGCGATCTGACTGGATGATCATAGCAGAGACAAGTCCCGATACACTAATATGCGATTCTTCAGATTGGTTTATGCAGTATTGACCTGAGCTATAACTGGGCTAGAAAAAGTAAAGAACAATATCCCACTCTTATGGATGCAAATATCTTTATTCAGCGAGCATGTAATGAAAATATTGAAGACCATGAAATAAATAATTCTATTGATACTGTAATTGATTATGACACCTTAAATGAGAAACACAAAATAATTCTTGATAAAATAGAATGTAATTATATTGCTAAAATATCAGAAAAATGCGTAGAACTATTAAAAATAATCATTATGGGTATAGCTAGGACAGGGAAGTCTTATCTTATAAAGACAATTCGGTATAAACTTAATAAAATTAGTAAAAAATATAATTTACCCCAACCAATTCTCGTGCTTGCTCCCACTGGGATCGCTGCCTTTAATATTCATAGCTCTACGATTCATTCTACATTATCAATCCCAGTAAACGCAAAAACCTTCGATCTAACTGGTGAAAGTTTAAAACGGCTACAAAATAAGCTAAAGTGGGTAAATTATTTTATAATTGACGAAATGAGCATGGTAGAATGACGTACTCTTGCCTTAATCGATCTGAGAATGCGTCAAGCATTCTCTGATTACCAAAATATTCTGTTTGGTGGCCGCTCTGTAATTTTTGTCAGAGACTTTGGACAGCTTCCACCTGTCCATGACCTTCTTCAATATTTATTACAGCTTTAGGGAGAGTTAATCTTTGAGACTTATGTATTGTGATTGCCCATGCAAGTATTAGAGGAATTTGGAGGCAAAAGCATGTACCAAACTTTCTATTCCAAGTTCTTCTAATAAGAGCTATTAGTACAAATTGAACATCTTCAGAAGTAGTAATTGAGGTTCATAGTAATCATCAAATACGACCAGAACTGAGTTAGGTAGTGAAGTGGGGTTATACCCTTCATCATATATAATATCTATAATTATACCCATAGCACTATTTACAAGACCGGCAGAAGTTCAAATATTTGCAGTTAGCATTATATGTGCTCTTATGGCAAGTAGCAATTTAGCCTCTAGACCTTTTGCAGCATCGGAATCGGCCTTTGGAGCCTCATGATTATTACTGTGAACAGCACATATTTTTGCAATAGGTTGATTCAAAGATGTCAATTTTTTAGCATTTATCTTATTAACAGCGTCTCACTTTGGTAGAAGAAAAGTAGTGTTTGAAAAAGCTTCACGTTCTTGCAGAGTCAATTTTTCTGGTAGTCTATTCAT